GACTAAAGAGACTCATCGGGACAGTGGTAGGTCTTCCTGCCGCACACCAGGCCGTTGGCGCGTAGAGTGTGGGTGTAAGCACGGGTTAAAGATGAACTGCATTTCGACCTCCATCCACCACATCCCTACTACAGCCTCACACCTACACCCACACCCTAATCGAAATCGGTCGAATATTCGAATGTATTCTTCTGATGGGCTCATTCTTTAGAGTGTTCGTAGTTCCGATGGATATCGAATGATCGAAATGTATCTGAGTACCCGAAACTGATTATTCGATGAAACAAAATTTTTCGAAGGCTCGGTATTCGAGGGGTCGAAAATCAAGCAGAACGAAAAAAATATATTCTGAAAACTTTTCGAGAGCTCTGAGCACTCCTCGCGGTTCTTCTGAGGTTCACTTGAAGAATAACATTTTATTTATATCTAATAATATAGGCGAGAAAAACAAAATTTGTGGGACCTTCTATTCTTTTTTATTTGTAGAATTATTTCCACTATAAACAAATATAGATGTATGACATATGACTTTTCGGTCATGCTTTATAACAGATTATAATATCAGTTCCTGACAAAGATTTCATTTATTGAATGCGAAGAACACTAAGTGTCAATATTAATTGCGGCCTTTTGCAGATCGAAAAAGACTTGTAAGAATGTTTGAATGTGTTCTAAATAAAAAATAGTAACATAGCATGTCATAAAAAATCGACCTACTCATAAATCGAAGTTCAATTTTACGATAGACGAATGGATAGTATAAGATCAAGCCAGATAGGACGAGTATTCCTGCGACGAGATAACCAATATTTGGATCGGAAATGACAGGTATTAATATTAAATAGATGGCAATAAGTATATTAATAATAAGAACAGGAATAGGAACCTAAAATAATATTCTTTCGTATTAAATATATAAAATAGCTGTACAATCCATGCCGAACTAACATTTATTACACGATAGGCATCCCTTTTAGTCCATTTACAACAGAGAGTGGCAACAAAACTAAGACCATAGAAGAGCCATGCAACAAAACTAAAGAAATTAATCAATGTATTGACATTACTTAGAATACAATAGATAATGGAAAGAATGATCTATCAAAATAGAGAAGTATGATATAAAATGAAGTGAAAAATATTTGAGATAAATAGTTTACTTGAAAAACAATACTTGGTAGTGGTGTACGTCGTTGTTTTTGGATGCATGCAAAGATTTCTGGTAAATAACCGTAACGAGCACCGACCATGCAATACCGAGAACTTTGAACAAGACCGCCATTAGCGCTACCCAATGCGCTGATATCAATCATAATCGGCAGAACACGAACTACAGGACCTAACAGTTCTTCACCCCATGTCTGTGTACTAGAGAAAAAATGAACATAGTTGCCATTAAGATCATGATATTTACCACAGCAACAGCATTCGAACTGAGTAATACTGCTTTACTCATGACTGTAAAATAAGAAATGTTAATAAGAACGTACAAAATGATGACAGTTGGTAAGGCTAAGGCCAAAGCTAGACCAAGATTTCTATGAATATCATACAGATGATAATGACGTCTAATCTTTTGTTTATCACTACCTTTTCGAATTTTTTAATTCTTCAGTTACTGAATTCAAACTACTCCATCCTTCGTATGCCCAGAGGCCTGAATAGAAAGCAAGAGCAATACCCAATGGATTCTTCGTTGTACCTAATGGTAAAAAATCATGTATTATCTTTGATTACCAAAATTTTGATATTCATACTCATCCGTAAATCCACTTTGAAGATTTTCTGTATAACCTAATTTTACAAAAAATAAAATGTTTCATTATTTATCGTCGCCTACGATGCAAACTATTAGACCTTGCGCAATGCGAACTAATCCTGCGATAATTATCACTAAAATTGTCGTAGTTTTACATATGACAAATATGATATTCAATCGATTGGATGCAGATACACTAAGCGCATTCATAGCAGCCATCATTACTAATTAAAAGAACGAGAAAGATGATCGGCTTGCGGTCTGAATAGTAACCTACGAAGTAGAAAGATTGCGAACATCTTGACAAGCTCCTCGGGTGGACCACAACCTATCAAAAATCGAAAACAATATTATGATTTCGAGAAAATAGTTTTTCATTACTATCCATAATGCCTGATAAAAAGTATTGAGAACTGATAAGGGTTACAGCGGCAATGGCTGATGGGTTTAGAATAAATGCGCTAGCCCAATTGAAGACAAATGCCAAAACATTGCCTGTACGTGCATGCACCGAACCAATACCTAACCAATAAAGAAAAGAATGAAAAAATATATAACAAATTCTATCGCCCACCTTCTTGCATATATGCAAGTTCGGTACCACTTAATGGAATTACTGTACCAATTTCTGCGTAGCTTAGAGCACCTATAGTGAACAGAAAAATTAGAATGATTCACTATTTAGTTAAGAACTTACCAAGGATGGAAATAAAGCCACAGGCAGTCCAAACAATAAGACATAGTCCAACCGACTCGGTATATCTGAGAACACCTTGAGGCGAAACAAATATACCTGAACCTATAGTTAATGTAGATTGAAGAAGTTAAGAGATGTGGAGAAAAAATTGCAATATACTTACCGATAATATTACCAATAATAAAACAGGTTCCTGAGAAGAGACTAAGATGTCTTTTGAGGGTTGTTTCTTCTGTGGGTGGTGTTTCTTTCGATAAACTAGCCGAACGATGCTCTTCGTCAAAGATTGGATGCACACGTCGTTGATAAACATTATTCATACTAGTAGAAAGATGAATACCAAGTGCTTTTTCACTATTCTAAATTCAGAAATCAATTTATCTCATACTCAATAAATTCTTTCTTTCATTATTGACCGAAGAAAATATAACGTCGCTTTGTATTTCATCAAGGTGATGTGAAAGAAAACAACAAAACCATAGTCGATTTGTGCACTTATCTCCTGTTCGAACGAAAGAGAATACAACTCTTTACAATCCCATAAAAAGAGATGTTTATGGTTTCTTTGTACATGATGTGATAACTGATCTGTTTATGATGTATTTTTCAAAGGAGAATATCTATCATAGTATTAAGGTACAGAAAAAAACGACAGAATTTTTATGAATTATCGTCAACGACATGGATAATTACTGGGTGTGGGTGTGGGTGTGGGTGTGGGTGGGTGTGGGTGTGGGTGTGGGCGTGGGATGTGGGTGTCGGTGAGTGTGGGGTGTCGGTGGGTGTGGGTGTGGGTGTGGGTGTGGGTGTGGGTGTGGGTGTGGATGTCATTTCTCTCTTTACTCACACCCACCCACACCCACACCCACACCATCGACTTTGCTCCACAGTCATTCTCACTTTTACTTTTTGCAACTGATTTAATCGAGTAGGTTTTGTATGCTATCAAGGCTAGAAGTGATAAGAGAAGGACAACATTCGTTTAGAAAGAAAAAAATAAAACATAAGTTGCTTGTGTGTCAAAAGGCAGAACTCAAAGACATGGTGAGATAACTGTTTAGCAGGCCAAACACATGCTACCAAATATCTATTATATCGACCAGGTTATCCACAAAAATTGTACGATCTCATTCTCGATTACTATTTCGATGGCAATTCAGTGAAACAAAAGATTCCACTTGTACTTAATGTGGTGTGTGGGAGTGACCAAGCGACTGTGGATCTGATCAAGTAAATGTTTGAATAGTCATCTAAAATTCTAATGGGATCTTTCTAAGATTCTGCGGACGAGTGATCGCTATTGACACCAGCGCTAATCAGCTGGCCAATGCCACACCAAAAGACAATGTGGAATATCGATACCAAAAAGCAGAAGATTTAACATTTCTTGAAGAGAACTCAATCGATCTGGTTACTATTACTAATGCTTTGCACTGGCTGGATATTAAAAAATTTGTCGAGCAAGTCTCATGTATGCTCAAACCGAATACAGGCGTATTTGTGGACTGCTCAAAAATCAAGTAGTCAGAGGAGAAGCAATAGAGGGACTCGAAATGATCATATTTGACTAGATGGGTAAGATGTCGACTGCCTACATTGTGATACACGTTTCTGATGTAATCAGATGTTATGGGACACCTTTTCATAAGTGCAGCTTTTGACTGAAAATTTGCTGAAACAGAACACGAAACTAATGATTTACTTTTAGAGTGAGCAAGTATCAAAAAATGTGCTGCCAATTTTTTCCCACTCAATTTCGATTAGAAATTGAGAGGTGACGGGCATTCATTTTTAAACTAACCACGCCAGTGCACAGAAAATAGTCGAATAGTCACCACAGTTTTTTGACCGAACATCAAGTTTAAATAGCATATATCTGATTGAACGGTGTGGGTGTGGGCTATGGGTGCGGGTGTGGCTGTGTGGGTGTGTGGATGTGCGTGTAGGTATGGGCATAGATTTGGGTATTGATTTGGGTACAGATTTGGGCATTATCCTTAGTCCATATACGCCACGTACACACCCTAACAACCCCACCTACACTCACATCTACACTTACATCCACACTCATATTCACACTCACATCCACACTTACGTCCACACTCATATTCACACTCACATCCCCACCCAACCCACATCTCACAGTGCACAACGACATCCACACCCATACCTACATCTATACCCACACCTCCACACCCACACCCCACTGTCACCCACAACCGCACCCAGACCTCACCCATACACCCACCAGATGTGTCCACAGAGCAGGGCAAACCTACCCTGCCTTGTATCCTGTCCTGCCCTGCGACAGGGCAGGGCGGCGATTTTATAAAATGCCCTGCCCTGCTGGAGGGCAGGACAGAGTAGGCAGAACAACAAAGCAGAACAGGGGGATATCTCCATGCCCTGCAAATTTCACACACACTAAATTTTGTTTGGAAATAAGAGTGCTTTGGTTTTTCTCGAAAATATTAAGAAAGGGATAAACAACACAGATAGCGTTATCAATGGGCACATAAGACTTTCGTATTTCAATGGTGAATATAGAGCCAACTCTAAGTATTACAAAGAAACGAAAAGAATAAGGAAATCATAACAATGAACATATATTTTAATATCTGGTCAGAGTACCATAAGTCATCGAGTCGACTACATTTAATCGTTAATTTTTTGAGCTTGATGAAACCCAAAATGAATGAATCAAACTTTCCTGAAAAATCAATCTATTGTTTTCTAATTGTAGTAAAAAGCGAATCAATTTCTGATGTCAAGCAGTTGTCAAAATATCTTCCAAACTAGCGCTATCTGTATAAGAAATTTATTTATATCTCCAGAATCATCTTTCATCAGAAACTGCACCAAAGATATTTGATATCAGAAAACCAAATTGATTTTTGTGAAAGTTTCATCAAGCTAACAAACAATGTAGTCAACTGCCATTTTTCGCCACACTTTATGTCGTCAGACTACACACTATTTGTAATTGTTGATCATCTTCTTGTTAGTTTAGTACGCCAAATAAAAATAAAATTATGCAATCATCATCAGCATCTTCTTATTCACGTCTCAATATTTCTCCTTTTCCTTCTGTTGATGTTACAAAAGCATTATGAAGTCAGAGAAGATAGACAAACTTCTTTTCGTGAGATCCATGGAAAACAATTACAAAAATATTACAAGCACTTTTCTTTAATAACTTTCTCTCTTATTCCTAGTTCATTATTATTTGCTGTTAGTCATGATTGTTTTTCTTTCTTGAATTACTTCACAAACAAAAAACAGTACTGAAATTTAGATATAAACATTACAATATTTCTTTTGCTCTGCAGGGCATCCTACCCTACCCTTTCCTGTCCTGAAGCACAGGACAGGACAGGGCACCAATTTTGAGAAGTTAGAAGGACAGGACGAAGTATTATGGGGAGACAGGACAGGGCAGAGCAAAAAAATGCGGCCTGTGGACACCTCTGACGCTCAAACTCACACACACATTCATGTCGATACCCATACGCAATACAAATGTATTGTATTGTTTGTTTCAAGTTTTAAGTGTGAGTGTGGGTGCCGGTATTATTTGAAGAGAAGATATCGACATCCGCGCTCTACATCCATACAATATCGAAAAATACCAACACAAAATAAGCCCACGAATATAGAATGATGGTCTTGAAATTGGAGAATATTGTGTGTTAATTGGTAGATTTTCCATAGATCTAGCTCATAATTTAAAGCATACCATCAGCAATGCAGGCAGTACATTGACTATGCTTAAAAAAAATGTGAAAAGAGTAAGAACAAACGACATGATATAAAGCCAGAATAATATTACAGTAATAAAAGCTAGAAGAAGAAAGGCCAGAATAAGTATGGCAATTAGAATGATTTTAACACACCAATTGTATTCTTTGGTTTTTTCCCGAATAATGTCATATGTAGCATATGGCTCATCCTTAAACAGTTCACAGAGAATATCGCCAACAATGAAAATGGCCGCAATAACGAACATAATAACAACTATCCTTATATGTGGTACAATAGATGATAATGAAGGAGCCGTGTATTCCAGGCAGGGCTTGGTGTAGTCAAATGCAAACAGGAATAAGCCTGGTATTATTAAAGATCCCTTAAATATTGTTGATCGTAACAGACGAAGAATCTTCCCACAACAGCTAAAGCCCGAGTCAAATCTATAGTCCAATAAGGTACCAAATACATTCAGTATCAAAGCCGCAAATATTCCAAGCCAAAAACAAACTAGAAAGAAATAATGAGATCCAGTTGAACGAACCAACCAGTCAAGTTCGTTGCCAATATAAAGATTAATGGGCTTGGTTTGATTGAAACAATCTTGAAGTATGTGTTCATCTTTCACAACATAGTAATAGCCATCAGTATGGTTTGCGTAGTGATAATTACCACGATTTTTATACTTATGGAATGATATCATATCAAGAATAAATAAACCAATCGAACCAATAATGGAAAGTCCAGCCATTATTTTTCGAAAGTGAAATCCCATGGAAGGCAATTTTTTGTGCGTCAATGTACGAAACTGAAACAACGAAATTTTTAATAAGGAAGCTTAAGTAGAATCCTTCTACGAAATATCTAAGAGCAACTCAAAAATTGATCTCATTCCAGGAACTTTCAGATGGCATGAAACTTTCAGAATATGTTGGGGCTGTAGTGGATAAGCTATGGTAAAATTTTCGACCGGATATCATGACGTTTGAGGGAGATATTCACCAAACAAGGATCAAAAATAACTCATTTGGCAAATCAGATTTCTCTGCCCAGGTTCATTATAGAGATTTAATTTTTTTTGTTTGAAAGAGCATGTTAGGATGCAGTGCAGTACAGAGTCATTTTTCTCTAATACTTACTTTTTAAGAGAAGAAAAGAGATCGAAAGTTCAGTGACTCAAAAAACTCTAAAAATAGCCCTCTAATTATATAGATGTTTGTATGTCTAGTGAGAGCAAAGCTTAATCAAAAATATGGGCTCTGTATTGCACTGCGTCTTGACGTGCTCTTTCTAGCAAAAAAAAATTTACATATATCACATGAACCTGGATTGAAAAATTTGGTTTGCGCGTTTGAGATATCATGAATTGACAAAAAAACGAAAAAGATTTTTGATTTTTTTAACAATGGCTTATTTTTCAAATAGGAGATGACGGAAATCTTCAAAAATTTTCGGAAAAAATAAGATAACGAGCAAAAATTTTTGTCACTTATGAGAGACCAGATCACGGACTATATTTTCCTGCATTTATCTCAATTTCGATGATTTTCACGAAAAGTGACTTCTTTTGAGGAGG